TAGGCCCGAAACGTCAGCCTTCCTGCTCCTCTGATGCTGCTTGGCCTGCTGTGTTCATCCAGCTCTACACCTTGTTATCTCAGATTCTCCAGCATCTGCAGTTCCTACTATGTCTGAAACAAGCTTTCATGGTTACTTCTTTTTCCTCATCCTTCAAACAATCAGATATATTCTGCTTAGTTTTACAAACTGCCTTTTTTTTGTATTGTGTCTCACTCCAGTTTTTTTGTTTTGTTTTTTAATTTAATGAATTAGCATGTTTTGGAAAGGAGGGAACTGAAACTGGTGTCGCGTCAGGACCTGAATATCATTGAGTTTTAAAATGGAAGGAAAAAGCATCGTTTACAGTGGGGAGAAACCATACAGTTGTGCTGTGTGTGGGCGAGGCTTCAGCCATTCATCTGGACTGTCGAGACATAAGCTCAGTCACACTGGGGGAAAACCATGGAAATGTAGAGACTGTGGCAAGGCATTTGCATCCCCCTCTGACCTGGAAAGGCATCGGCGCAGTCACACAGGGGAGAGGCCATTTTCCTGCTCGGTGTGTGGGAAGGGATTCAATCAGTTGTCCAACTTGTTGCAACACAAGCGAGTTCACACTGGGGAGAGACCTTTTAAATGCCTAGACTGTGGGAAGTGCTTTAAAAGTCCTGGGGAACTGATGTCCCATCAACGTGTTCACACTGACGAGAGACCGTTCAGATGCTCTCACTGTGACACTCAGTTCAAGTACTCATCTGACCTCACTGTCCACCAGCGAGTTCACACTGGGGAGAAACCGTTCACCTGCTCAGAGTGTGGGAAGGCATTCTCTCAGTTATATAACCTATTGACACACCAGCGCGTTCACAGTGACGACAGACCTTTTAAGTGTTCAGACTGCGGTAAGTGCTTTAAATGTTCAGGGAACCTGATAACACATCAACGTGTTCACAGTGATGAGCGACCTTTTAAATGTCCTGACTGTGGAAAGTGCTTTAAAAGCACTGGAGAACTGATGTCCCATCAACGTGCTCACACTGATGAGCGACCATTCAGATGCACACACTGTGGAACTGGGTTCAAGAAATCATATAACCTCACTGTACACCAGCGACTTCACACGGGGGAGAGGCCATTCACTTGCTCAGAGTGTGGGAAAGGATTTACTCAGTTATACAACCTGCAGACACACCAGCGAGTTCACACAGGAGCACGACCATTCACCTGCCCTGAGTGTGCGAAGGGATTTACTCAGTCAGCCCACCTGGTGAGACACCGACAAGTTCACAAAAAAACACAGTGATTGGATTTTACTGTGAATTATCACTCAGGGCAAAACAATGATCTTTTGTGTTTCTTTCCGCTGATATTAAGAAACCACAGTTTAGTTGGGTGTTAATATTCTGGATAAATTTAAATAAATTAGCTTTGTGTTAACTACAGTGTGTTGAACCTTGCTGATTATCTATATATCAAGTTGGTTCTCTGTGAAATGCTCTCCCTCTCCCTGTCTCTTCCATTGTCACCTCTAACAATGCATGAGGAGCTCATGGAAAATCTTTGTGGCAAAGATTGAGATAATCCAATCCTCTGTCTCTGCTACTTTCCTTTCACTAATCTGCTAGGCCAGACTGTCTCTTACATTCTAATTTGCAGAGCCCTGTGCCTACTGCTCCTTTTAGTTTCTCTTCCAGTTGCTTTAATGTCTTTTTCTAGACAGTTGTCAAAAGAGATAGAATTGAGAGTGAGGGAATGACAACAATGACCTCTGTCTTCCCACTATTGAATTGGAGGAGATTTCAGCAGATCTATATATACATATCCCATGTCATTCTGTCCAAGAAATGCAACTCCTGCTCTTAATAAACTACTAATCTCTCAATGTCCCCACATTCACTGATATTGTTAACATTACTCTCTTGTCCATCCGTGTCCTTTTCCCTTTCCCTTTCCTTTTCCCCTTCAAACTGCCATCTTTAGTCCCTCCTGGATAAAGAAACTCTTGAATGCCACTGCTATCCTTGCAAACAATTGCCCATGTAAGTTCTGAGCAATGAAGGCAAGCATCTTAACCATCCTGCCTATGTGATGCAAATTTCAAAGAATTAAAGACCTAAATCCCTAGGTCTGTCTGTGCTATGCTACACTACTACCCAAGGTCCTACCTTTTTTAATTTAAAATTGTTTTAATTTTTAAATTTTGTTTGTTTTAACAAAATACAATACCTCATTATCCAAATTAAACTCCATCTGCCACTCCTCAGCCCATTGATCCAATTGATCAAAATCGCTTAGTACTCATAGGTAACCTTCTTCACAATCCACTACACCACTAATTTTGGTGTCATCTGCAAACTTGATAACCATGTCTCCTCAATTCTTCTCATCCAAATCATTTATGATATAAATGACACCATCTGTGTGGGAGGAGAAAGGTACCTGCTTCTTGTATATCCTTTAAACTTACCCTCTTGCATTAAAACTACCTCTCATAATTTTCACATTTCTACCTGGAGAAAAAGACTCTGAACTCTTCATTTCATTCATGATTTTGTAAACTTTTATCAGGTCGTGATTTCATCCCTTGATATTTAAGTGAAAACAAATCAAGTTTGTCCAGTTTCTCCCCACATCACTCTTTTAGCCATGTGTTTATTTCCCTTATTCTTATGTCCATACGCCAATTTGCACGTGACTCAGGCAGTAGTCCGGAGATTATAACCCTTTTGAGGACCTGGTCTTTAATTTGGTTCCTACTCCTGATAATTCCTGAACAGGCCCTCTTTCCTAGTCTTGCCTATGTTGTTTGTTCTGACATGGACCACAACAACTGGATCCTCCTCCTCCATCTCCAACATCCTTTCAAGCTGGTCAGAGATAACCCTTACCCTGGAATCGGGCAGGCAACACACCATGCGGGAGAGAGATAGTAGGAACTGCAGATGCTGGAGAATCTGAGATCTTCTTCAGAGGGTCTAGGCCCGAAACGTCAGCTTTCCTGCTCCTCTGCTGCTCTACACCTTGTTACACCATGCAGGACTCTGGATTCTGCTTACAAAGGATAATATGTGTTCCACTAATTATAGAATCCCCTACAACTACACTTGTCTTTTTGTCGGTGCAGGCTTGGACGGCCAAAGGGCCTGTTCCTATATACTTAATTTTCTTTGTTGCCCCTTCTTGAATGGCCTCCCGTGCCATGTGGTCAATTGGCTCATCCTCCCTGCAGCCCTTTTCATCATCCACACAGGGAACAAGTACCTTGCATGTTGGACAAGGTGGAGGCTTCCCTGTCCCTGACTGCAGGATCCCTCTACCTGCCTCGCTTGTAATCACAACCCCCTGTCCCTTGGCTATTGACCAGATTTGAAATACTTAATCTACCAGGTATGACTGCCTCCTGAAACATAGCACCTAGGTACTTCTCCCTCTCTCAGATGTGCCATAGTGACTGAAGCTCAGGTTCCAACTCATCAACTCTGAGCCGAAGTTCCGCGAGCAAATAACACTAGCTGCAGATGCGGTCACTGCAGTTCACAATGGGATCGACCAACACCCATTTCACACAGTTACAACACATCACCTGTCCAGCCATCTCTACTTAGTTAATTACTTTAATTTATGTATATTTTTATTATTAATTAAATTTAGCCCCTCCTAGTTTGTTGTTTTCTGCTATTTTTGTACTCTTTGAGGGCTCGGTCTTCAGTTTCATAAGCCTTATGTATGTCTTCTTTTGCTTTTTGACTAAGCTCACAATTTCTTGAGTCAACCAAGGCTCCTGAATCTTGCCTTATCCTTCATTTTCACTGATTCTGAACTCTAATTAACTGTCCTTTTAAAAGATTCCAACATGACAGATGTAGATTCACCCTCAAACCGCTGTCCCTAATCTACATTCCCCAGTTCCTGCCTAATATTGTGGTGGCTAGCCTACCCCAATTTTAATACTTTCACCTGAGGCCTACTCTTGTCCTTATCCATAAGTAAAACTTACAGAATTGTGGTCACTGTTCATGAAATGCTCCCCCACCAAAACTTCAAACACTTCACCAGGTTCATTCCCTAATATCAGATGTAGTATGGCTCCTTTCCCAGTCGGGCTATTACGTATTGTTTCAAAAAACTAACCAGTATGCAGCTCACAAATCCGATCCTCCCATTGGAGTCCCTGTCCTAGTCAATATAGGGGAAGTCATACCTCCCTTGGGAGTCCCGACCCCCCCCCCCCCCCCCCCCCCCCTCCCCACCAACCACCACAGCAGCATGGTTGTTTTTACATTTTTCCATGATTTTTCAACACATCTGTTCCTCTCTCACCCATTGGCTGTTGAGAGGCCTGTAGGGCATTTCTAGCAAAGTGATTGCACCCTTCTGTTCCTGAGTTCTATCCATATGGGTCGCTGGATAAACCTTTCAAGATGTCCTCCCTCAGTACATTCAGTAACACAAGCCCCTCACCCCACCTCATTTACATCCCTTTCTATCTCACCTGAAATGTCTAAATTGCAGAACATTAAGCTGCCAGTCTTGTCCTTCACGCAACAAAGTCTCTGTAATAGCTCAATATAATAGTTATATGTATTAAGTTCATAGAGTCATAGAGATGTACAACACAGAAGCAGACCCTTCGGTCCAACTTACCTATACCAACCAGTTATTCTAAATTAATCTAGTCCCATTTTCCAACGTTTGGCTCATATCCCTCTAAAGCCTTCCTATTTATATACCCATCCAGATGCCTTTTAAATGTTGTAATTGTACCAGCCTCCACCACCTCTTCTAGTGGCTCGTTCCATACATGCACTACCCTCCGTGCAAAAAAGTTGCCCCTTAGGTCCATTTTAAATTTTTCACCTTAAACCTATGCCTTCTAGTTTTGAACTCCCCTAACCTGGGAAAAAGACCTTGGTTATGCATCCTATCCATGCCTTTCATGATTTTATAAAGGTTACCCATCAGCCTCTGACACTCCAGGGAAAATAGCCCCAGCCCATTTAGGCTCTCCTTATCGCTCAAACCCTCCAACCCCAACAACATCCTAGTGGCCTAACCAATGTCCATTCAGGTTTCCTTTGTTTGAGACATTTCTTCCAGTTTCATTCCTACAGAAAAGTCAGTTTCTACTGCTCACCTTACTTTCACTTGAATCACTTAATTTTGAACTATTTTGGCACAAATATCATTCCCTCCTTTCATAAAATTCATCTGCTATCTTCACAACATTAATATGATATTCTAAAGCTTTTTAAATTGGCCCAGCAAAATCAAATCCATCCCCTCTAACTCCACTTCTAATAGTCACAGTGATTTCATTAGTGCCATTAGAAATCATTTGGCTTCTCATTGTTATTGAACAGGCCAACACCAACCCTGGGTCCTCTGACGATTTCAATAGTGCCTGGCAACTGAATTGGCTCTCCTGAGCCTAACACCTCAGTAGCTCATCTTTCAGACATGTTGCCACCAGCTTCGGACTGTAAGCACCTGAGGTATTTTGTTAATTGAGCCAATGGAGGCCTGGCAATCACATTCATAGAATCATAGAATCCCCACAGCATGGAAGCAGGCCAGTCAGCCCAGGGAGCCACCAGGATCCCTCCTCACCCCATTCCTGCAATCCTGCACCTCCACAACCAATCCATCTAGCCTAGACAGCACATCTCCAGACATCACTGGCAACACATCAAGACCAATTTGCACATCTCCAGATTGTGGGAGGAAACCCACGCAGACATGGGGAGAATGTGCAAACTCCACACAGACAGCCACCCAAGGTCTGAACCAAACTCAGGCCCCCAGCACTGCGAAGCAACAGCGCCGACCACCGCGCTGCCCACCATGTTCAAATCACATTACTTTTTCATTTATCCTAACAGTCTGCAGGTTCAAAATGGCTCTGCTGGCATTGTTGCCTCATTAGTTGCAAAATCCTACATCAGAACATGATTGAGAAACATGCATATTATTGCGGCATGGTGGCTCAGTGGTTAGCAATACTGCCCCACAGCGCCAGGGACCCGGGTTCGATTGCACTCTCGGGCGACAGTCTGTGTGGAGTTTGCACATTCTCCCCATGTCTGCGTGGGTTTCCTCCCACAGTCCAAAGATATGCAGGCTATGTGGATTGGCCATGCTAAATTGCCCTTAGTGTTCAGGAATATGTAGATTAGGTGGGTTAGAGGAGGATGTGACTGGGTGAGATGCTCTGAGGGTCAGTGTGGACTTGTTGGGCTGAAGGGATTCTACAAACAAACATCATCTGATGGTAGTCACTCAATCAGGATTTGACATCATCTGTCTTTCACAGTGGAATGATTAAGGTTTGTCCTCTCACCCAGTTCTAAGGAAGGGTCACCGGACACGAAGCGTTAACTCTGATTTCTCTTTACAGATGCTGCCAGACGTTTTGTCACCATGTGAAGTTAAATCATCAGTATAGCCTCCGATGAACCGATGTTATTCTATTTTGCTTGGAATTTATACTGTCTGGTCTGTTATGGTGAGTACTGTCATTTCCGGTTTTGATCTGTACATTATGGTGAGTACTGTCATTTCCGGTTTTGATCTGTATGGTACAGACCAGACAGTATAAATTCCATGCGTCCTCCAAGGCAGACTTCGAGATACACAACAATGCAGGAATGCTGAGCAGAGACTGATAGCCAAGTTCCATACCAATGAAGACGGCCTCAACTGTGATTTTGGGTTCATGGCGTGCTACTTCTGACCCCACCACATTATTCTGTATTTGTAAAATCTTCCCTACCGTCCTGTTTTGACACCATCACCTTGATAAATTGTTATGATCTCTCAACCTTAATTAGTTTGTACAGTTTTGGATTGCTTATTACTTTGGTTAGATCCTTGCCATGCGACTCATACCTATCACGTTATTCCAGTCATTTAGTGTGTCTTGTAGACCACTCAAAATGGCAGAATTGGATAATACACCAAGCATGCTGGGAAATCTGCTCCAGAGGTATGTAATATCCATGAACAGGTTGAATAGAAAAAATATATATCTTAAATAATGCTCTTTTGTTGCTTCTAGAATGTGGTGCTTTAAGAAATAATCTTGAATGGTAAGAACTTCTCATCTTACCTTACTAGTGTCAATCTGATTTTCCTATCTTGTATGTATTTATTCTTGCACCTTTGTCCCACATGGTGGAGTCCTGTAGACCACTCCCACTAGTGAATTATTTCCCCTACATTCTTCTTCTCCACCCATACTGATTCTACATCCTGATCTCCTGAACAAAGGTAATTTCTACTATTGTACAAATGCCATCCTTGATTAACAGTGCTACCCCTCCATTGTGACCTACCATGTTATTTTTCTTGAATTCAATTTGATAGAGGGTGACCATCTGTTTAAAACAAAGCTAAACTTAGGAGGGGAATCAGAGTTAATGTTTTGGGTCAAGTGACCCTTCTTCCGAACTGACGGTAGCTAGGAAAATGTCAGTTTATATGCAGAAGATAGGTTCGGGAGAACTGTAAAGAGTAAATGATAGGTGGAGATAGAGCCCAAAGAGAGAGAAGAACAGTTGGACAGACAAAGGAGTGGATGACAACCTGGCTGGGAGGGTAAATAGCTGTTAATGGAGACTGTTAGTGGCTAACAATGGGTTGTGTGTAGTAGCAGACTATGTGATAACAAGGCCTGGTGTTTGGTTTTGGGATAAGGACATGGGAGATCTCAAGCCCTAAAATTATTGAACTTGATATTGAGTCCAGAAGGCTGCAGGGTCCCCAAGCAGAAAATGAGGTGCTGTTCTCCCAGCTTGCTGCACTGCTGAAAGAAAACTTGAGCTGTAAGGCATCCGTAGACACCAAGTGTCAGCAGAGGAATTATAATGAAAGTAGCCTAAGGCAGAATGGATTACTCCTGTATGCTCTAGCCCCATTATCTCCATGGCACATAAACTATTCCATCTGAAGACTACACTTTGTCTCAATTCCTCATGCACAACACCACAAAAGGCCAATGCAAAATTAACACAAACAGCTCAGTATGAGTGAGGACAAACGTAGTCACAGAGACGTAGAACTGTACAGCATGGAAACAGACCTTTCGGTCCGAGTCATCCATGCCAACCAGATGTCTTAAAGTAATTTAGTCCCATTCATCAGCATTTGACCCATATCCCTCTGAACCCTTCCTATTCATATACCCATCCAGATGGTTTTTAAATGTGACAATAAAGGATATTCTATTCTAAATTGTAGTAATTGTTCCAGCCTCCATCACTTCCTCTGACAGCTCGTTCCACACATGCACAACCCTTTGTATGAAAAAGTTGCTCATTAGGTCCTTTTTAAATATATCCCCTCTCACCTTAAACCTGTTCCCTCTAGTTTTATACTTCCGTACCCTTCCCTTCACCTATCCATGCCCCTCACGATTTTATAGACTTCTATGAGGTCACCTCACAGCCTCCAATGGTCCGGTAAAAATAGCCCCAGCCTATCTAGCCTCTCCCTATAGCCCAAACCCTCCAACCCTAGCAACATCCTTGTAAATCTTTTCTAAACCCTTTCAAGTTTCACAACATCCTTCCTATTAGCAGGGAGACCAAAACCGAATGCGGTATTCCAGAAGTGGCCTAACCAATGTCCTGTACGGCTGCAACATGACCTCCCAACCTCTCTACTCAATGCACTGACCAATAAAGGCATGCATACCCAATATTAATGCTTTTCATAGAGTGAGTGAAGACAGGAAATGAGGCTGGGGAGAGAAGGATGCTTGTAATAAATGCTACTCACCATCACGTGCCAGACAACCCATCCGACAAATCCCAGGCTCCCCAAAGGAGCCACAGGGAGGAAACAGAAAACATACCTTTAGTCTAAACCATTAGCACACCTTCAGGGCAGTTCATTTACAAAGGATACACAGGGACAGAGATTGCCATTTTGGATTGCACTGGTGTATCCCACTAGACCCAAGAAAGATCAGAGTGCACTAACATCTTAGGAAAGAGGGAGTCGTGCTATAAAATCTATTCGCTTTTGGTCCATCTCTCTTTTCCCATAGGTGACTATTGTTCCCAAGTAGGTAACTCTATGCTGTCGAATCTGCACCTTTTATGGGTTTGTTTTACAAACGTGCAAGAGGTTGAGTAATTCATCTAGGAGTTGGATGTGTTCCTCCTTTGTTTCAGTCTACATATTGTACTAGGCAATCAGGCCGGGAAAACTTTTCTAATGCCTTGGCTAATCATCTGTGGAAAATCGAGGGTAAGTAATGGAACGCTTGTAGTAAACAGGTCCAGGTATACTGTTGTTCCTGGAAGGTAGATGCAAATTTATACTGACAGGACCGATGTAAGGGTATGGACCAGAAACCGTTACAGAAACCAAGTACTGTGAAGTATTTTGCTTGCGGGGCTTGCTTCATTATTGTAGCTGGGTTAGTGCCTACTGTTGGTGCAGTGAGGGTGGTGACTTTACTGAGTTCCTGGTAGTCAATAGTTAAATGCCACGAACGATCTGGCATCCTGACAGGCCAAATTGGAGTATTATTAGTGGAGACTACAGGTTGCAGCACTCCTTGTTGTAAAAGACTGTCAATCACCTTGGCTACCTCCCCGTTGCCTGTCTGGGGAAACCGTGTTGTCTTTGCAGTTTTGGGTCTGGTCCCTCAATTATCACCTCTTCCTGTATATGCCCACAGTCATGTTTATGCTTAGCGAATATCCCTTTGTGTTTCATAATCACTTCTTGCATAGCCAGATCCTTAGTCATTGTTAGGGGATTGAACCAAACTCTCCTATTGTACTGATTGATTAAAATAATTTCCTGTTGAGCTGATGGGTGGCGCCTTGCTAATTGGGGGCATCTTCCATATGCAGGCATTTACTGGATCAACAGCAAGGTTACACCTAGTCATGAAATTGACACCGAGGATGTGTTCTGTGTCTGGGGAAAGGTTAACTAAGATAGCAGGGTGGTAGCATGTAATGTTGCCTAGTTTAATTTCCATAGGTTCAGTACTGTACCCCTCCTGTGTATGACCAGTAAATCCACTTAAAACAATAGTTCCTGTTGTCTGCCAGGGCAGATCATTAAATTTCAAGGTGTTTAGGGTTGTGCGGGAACTTGTGGTATCCCAAAGAAATTCTACAGGGCAGCCTCCTACCTCGTCATTGACTAGTGGTCTACCTACACTGTCCCACTTTGTGTTGCAGACCCATACTGGGGAGGCAGGGGCCTGACATGGTCATGCAGATGCCTCGTAATTTAGGCATGGGATTGGCTAGTGTCCCTGGCATGGAGCGGAGCCTGCAGAATTGGACCTTCTAACAGGAGTTGGTGCCTCCAATTTCATTTCTGAAGAAGGGTCCTGACCTGAAATGTCAGTTTTCCTGCTCCTGTGATGCTGCCTGGCCTGCTGTGTTCCTCCAGCTCCACACTGTGTTATCTACACCTTCACACAACCTGGCCAAGGACCAACAACAGAGATTGAAACACCTAGTCGACAGATCACCCCATTCTATCCACTCGACCCAAGATTTCCTCAATACCCTCAAGAACAAAAAAATCAGCGACAATGAGATTATGGTATCCTTTGACATCACAGCTTTATTCACATCAATTGATATCCCACTAGCCAAGGAAACAGTGGCCACATTACTAGAGGAAGCAGCAACGCAGACCAGCAGCTCAATCAGCAATGACAATATACATAAACTACAAGACCTCTGCCTCACCACAAACTTCATCTTTAATGATCAAGTAAACAAACAGATCCACGGCACACCAATGGGGTCACCCATCTCAGGACTCATTGCCGAAGCAGTCATGCAAAGACTAGAACACACTACCCTTCCCAGCATTCAACCTTAACTGTGGATCCGGTATGTAGACGACACATTTGTCATTATTAAACTCAACAAATTAGAAGAGACCCACCACCTCATCAGCATATTTGCAAGGATTAAATTCACAAGGGAAGAAGAAAACAACAATCAACTTCTGTTTCTGGGTATTAAAGTTGAGCATATGACCAACGGGAGTTCCAAACCTCAGTATACAGAAAAGCAACGCATACTGATCAAATCCTCAACTTCCACAGCAACCACCCTAATGCCCACAAACAAAGCTGCATTAGGTCACTATTCAAACGGGCTAGGACACACTGCAACACCCCGGAATTACACAGGAAAGAAGAGCACCTATACAAAATCCGCACTATAAACGGATATCCTTCATCTGCAGATGCCTACTAAACAGACAACAACAGGAGGACACAGTACGCCCTAACACACTGGCCACACTGCCCTACATCTAGAACATACCAGAACTGACAAGACTCCTAAGACCACTAAGAATCAATGGTGTCCCACGAGCTCACAGCCACTCTACAACAAATACTTACAAGGATTAAAGACCCCATTCCTACAACATGCAGAACCAGCGTAGTTTACAAAATACCATGCAACGACTGCCACGAGTAGCTAAAAGCAAGCAGGCAGGTTCGGCAGGTGGTGAAAAAAGTAAATGATATGTTGACCTTCACAATGAAAAGATTTTTGGAAAGGAGCAGGGCTCTCTTGCTGTAGGAATAAATGGATTTTTTTTTTCCTGAGTGGCAGACCCAGTACCAATGGGATCAGTGCTTTGTCCCCAGACATTCATAATATATATCAATGATTTAGATGATGGAATTACGCATCATACCTGCAGGTTTGCAGATGATGCAAAGCTGGGTGAGAGATTACGCTGTGAGGAAGATGCAAAGATGCTTCAGTATGATTTGGGTAAGTGGGCAAATACATAGCAGTATATGACAATGCCATGGCTTTAAGAGAT